GCTGCCAGATAGTTGTTGGCTGTCTCCGTCAGTGCCGTCAGTGTTAGACGGCTAGCGTTGTGTACATGCGAGGCGAAGCGACTGTGGAGAGTGTGCAGTCGAGACCGTGAATGTTATAAATAAAAGAAGGTGCCTCCTACAAACCTCGTCTCCGAATCACTGACACTACACATACACAGTGTACATGTATCATGTGCCATGTTATTTTGATGATGAGTAAAGGTTTGTGCTTTTCAGCAATACAGCTTTACTTATTTCCATCCACATGTTTGCTGTCACTGATGATCTCTATCTTCAGGCTGCCACTGATGTTCTTAAATATTACACAAAGATGCCAAATCCTTTAATTCCAAAACGCACTGAGATAAACAACGATGTTTCTAAAAAATAAAGCCTTGATAACAATCGCACTCACTTGGGAAAAAAACATACAATTTCGTTTCCCATTTCCATACATGTTAAGCTTCTTCCGCAGAGAGATGCTCCTATATTCGGTTTATGTGTGCATATGTATACCATCCATATATGGCCTACAAATGTAACGTTTATAACAAACAAACAATCTTTGGACTTCTAGCTGCGATACGTGAACAATCAAAATTGCTCTCACGCGCAGTTCTTTACCTGAAATCTAAGCATTTCCATTAGGGGCGACAGAAAAAAATAAGTGAGAGAAAGTGCGACTCGCATAATGGTGGCGAGCGACAGTCCCCCCGCTAGCTGTGCGCGGGGGCGGGTGATCAGTGCCAGGCGTGCCGAGCAGAAAGGCGGCAATGTGCATGCGCTCAGCGCAACGAGCATGGGCATACTGCCACTGGAATGACAGCAATTATCCGTTTAAAATGAGGAGGAGAAGAAGAAGAAGCAGAAGAAACATCTTCGCAACCAGTAATTAAAAATTGGCGGGCTTCTGAAAATGTGCGCAGGTCACATCACATCACGTTTAAGATTTTTGAGATGCCCTTTAAAATGTCAAAGACTTCAAGGTAAAATCTAAAGAAACGTACTGACGGCGAACGATTGTCTCGTCAGCAAATGAGACATTGGCATGGACCCTCTCTGTTCGACATGGGTCCTAGTTCAAAGCGAAATTATTTGATACATTACACGAAATACGGTAATCACGAGTGTCATTGTGGAGAATGACAAACCAAATAAGCTGACAACTCAACCTCCATCCCACATCTATTTCTCCTCGGATAAAGCGGCTTTTTTCACACGTTTAATCAGCTACACGGCCATCCGGGAGTAATTTTGTATCGTAGTATTAGTTTAATATTTCCATAATCCGGACCGATTTTGAATTTCAGTGTTTTGTCATTTGCAGACGTTATTATTGTTGGAATTGGACGCAGATAATGGGCCCCAGATTGTAGGAGTTGGAATTCCACATGTATGGTGCACAGAGGCAGACGTTGCTGCGTTGAGCATTGGTGACTATGCTGTACTGATGAGTCCCAATGAGGATGAAACGAGTCTACAGGCGTCTTTGTCTCACTGATGCCTATCAACGAGTCACATTTGCTCAAACATATTTTGATGTTAACCGTAGACAAGAGGACGACAGTGCAGTTCTTCATGCTGATGGTTTTTGCTTCGTGTATACATTTCTGCTTGCTCGTTTGAAACGTATGGTTTTATGGCCTGCACGTTTTATTCTGTTATGATGTGGTTTTCTCATTATTTACAGATACGACTCACATTTCTTCAAAAAACATCTGGCCAGTGTGGACTAGTTGGCCAAAAATATCATGTTTGGAGCTCCCTCTAGTTTAGACCTTTCAACTAACATGAGCTGTGAGCAAAACATTGCAGGGCTACACCTTTACCTGTCATACTGAAGTCAGGCAACAGGCAGCGGTGCACAACTGCAATTCAGCACTTTGGAGATGGAGGTCAGAATGCAAGTGAGCCTTCCAAAATCGCTGAGCCGTGAAGTGGCTAGGAGATGGCAGCACAGTTTGTGACCTGTCCGTGCAGATCTTTGAGTATTCTTCGGGCATACGCGAGGTTTATTTATTTATTTTATTTTACTATGTATTTTGTTTTCTTCTTTCATATAATATACACGTAAATAATCGTATTCTTTGGGTCTTTCGGTAAAGCCACGTAGAAAGACCCAAACAATACGAATTCCTGCAGTCACGAAAGCTTGAAGTCAAGATAAATAACCGTGTTGACCAAGCATCTAAATTCACGACCCCCCTAAAGAAGAAGGAGTCTTGCAAAGGATGCATCTCGTCTCAACTTCCCAACAAAAATTCACCGTGAACATTCCGCTAGCGAGACGGCGTAAAGTGACACGAAAGCAACGCGACGACTCTTCGGAAGATCACCGTGCGCTCTCCCCATTGCATACGTGTCATGCGCCTTCAACTCGGACGATATCTTTACGGATGGATAACGATTGCATTTGCTTTGCCCCTTGATGGGCTTCATTGTGACAGGGTCTGCGGTCACCCTTGCCCATTTGTCGGAATGCGGTGCTCTCGCCTCGCGTCACAATTCTTGCGTCCTGTCAAAAGCACCGCGTGCACTGCAGTCGGCCTGCGTCATTCCTGTTGCAACTGAGACACTCAGATGCGCATGAACACCCCCTTGTCTGTAACAGCAGCCTACATTTTTCGGTGAAGTTGCTTGCCTTAGGTAATAGTTATCGTCCACTTAGGGTTGTATCTTCAGTAATAGCACGCGGACTTGCAATGCAGAGGTCACATGGTTTGATCGTCGAGCTGCAAGAGTGGCGCAGGTTTCTTCATCTCAACGCCTCGGTTCCACCCAGCAGTATACATGGGTGCAAAACAGATCGTCAGGTCGTGTGTGGTGGAGTGAGGTGTGAGTTACTCCCACCTCTTCCAAGCCTTCTGGCCAGCGTAGAAGAGTAGGCCAAATATCCTCCAGAGGGGACTCGCTAAGCACTCTCTCTCTCTGGAGGAGGCCCTTCTTCCAGCGGTGGCGTGAGCAAGACATTGCGGAGTTAAAATGTTACCTATTGTTTTAATAACTGTGTATAACATGCATATTCATATCATCCTCCTCCTCATCATCATCAAACATCGTCTGTCCACTGCTGGATGAACGCATCCCCACGGTCTCACCAACCCTCTTGGTCCTGCGATGCTACGATACGTCTCGCTCGCTCAAATTAACCGATCTCGTCGCTTCATTACCATCGGTGGTCATGCCCTTGGGTGCATTCACCCCTTTGGCTGCAGTTCCACAATTTGTTTCCAATTTTTATCAAATCAATATCACTGTACACTGTTTAACCCCCCAAAATAAACCGAAGGATCGTACCGCTGTAACCAGTATCATAATGTAAGACATTCATCCGCATGGGTGGGTGACCTGCAGCCAGTGGTGAAAATTCTACATTCCCATGGCGAGGACCAGAATAAATGAGACCCACTAAGAGGTACTCACCCTAAGGGCTTAGTAGGTTGAGCCGACTCCCTGACCTTGATTTGAATCTGCAATATCCTGATTGTATTCCAAGTGCTCCTAACCACTGTCCCAGTATATAACAGAATATGCATCTATTCTGCATACCCGGACTTGTATATTAATTTGTTCTGATTATCGTCATCCATTTTCCTTCAAAGAAACATATGCTTGTGTTGCCCTCTGTTGCCTTAACTTTGTAAATACGTTGCAAGAACATGCACACACCGAGTATCATTGCAACTGCATTATTAAACACCTCTTCTCAACTCCAGGCTCCAGCTGAATCGTTTACTGGGATTAATATTTAACGCAGCATCTCAAGTAACTTTGCATTGTTACTCCCACACAGTGCGTTTTTATCTTTAATTCCACGCATTCTCTGTGCGCTCACAAGCGTAATCGGGCAGGTTAAGCCACAACAATGCTTTGATCAGTAACATACACCACAGAACGATTGGTTGTCTGTTTTAAGAAAAGAAAATCAAATGTTATTGATGCGGAATGAGGAAAAGCAGTCGCGTTTAATTAAAGATAACTTTTTCCTCTGCAGATTTTTTAACAGAACTAATTGTGGGTCATGGGTGGTGTGTCAGTCAATGCAATCTGCGTGTGTAAAGGGGACAGGGTGCGCATGTTAAATACAGCTCAGGAGAGGATGGGAAAATGTGGCTACCTACATGAAAGACAAGACAAAGGTTTCCTTTTCATTGCCTCGGCAGACCTTTGGGGGCAAGTGCAGTTAGTGAGCACCTTTGAAGGCCAGCATGGCACACGAGGATGATGGGCGGTCAGTACCACCTTTGTCTCCTGAGTGGTGATGTTTACACACCGCACAAGGTAATCACTTAAGGCTGAGTCGACCTGGGGGAGGCCCAGGACTGGTTTCAATAATCGTCGCTGATGTTGGTGGCTGTAAGCAGGAATCAAAACTTGTGTCACGGGGTTCATAGCGCAGCGCGCTGACCACTCCACACATACGAAATACGTAGACAGTATAAATTTATTGAAGGTTAAGGATTTAATGCAATAATACATATTCTAGATACAATGATAATGTACAATCCTTTGTCAATCCACTGCTAGATAAAAACCTGCCCATGCTATGCTGGTTATGGGAGGTTATGTGACCATCCTTCACCGCTGGTCATTGCAGATTTATGCAGGGAGATGGAGCAGGACCGCAGGAGGGGTTCAGAAACCACTCGTCACTGATGTCAGCAATGGTCAGGAATTGAACTAAGATGATGAGGTTCACAGCGAAGTATGCTAACCACTGTACCACTGCCTCCCTCAGAACAAACTAAAATAACTGTAGCATAGACTAACTATGGTATGAAAATTGTATTTTTTTTACCATGTTATCTTATTCTTTTTAAGTAATACTGACATTTTCCCTCAAAAGGGCATGTCAAAGACACATCTTTGTAAGTTCTCTTAGCGACAATGCGGGCAGTCACCACTGGTACAGCAAATCCCATGCTTACACGGTCACGTGCTTGTAAAATCCTCGTTAAACTTATAATCGCATTACATTGGGACATTTAAAATGGGCACTGCACGGAAACCTCGGGGCCCGCTTCTGGCAGGACCGTGTTGTTTGTGACAGCGATGAAAAGAACACAACAGGTGACTTGCGCAAGACTGCACGAGGGCACCGTAAGTCCCTTGACTATCTGCGCATAGGGCTGTATTCATAATCCAGTCTTATTTCATCGTTTTGGATGTATTTGCACCACTGTGATACTGAGTACAATGTATTCAAACACAGGTTTTTTTTTGGGTGAATGTTCAACATGATTTTACGTGTCAAAAGATCCCCTTTCAATTTGGAACTTTAACCATTAAATTGCTCTTTCTCTCAGCCAAAAGACTGATAATTGCATTGGGTGTCAGCCGTTTGGTCATTCTGCATGCATGTACTTATATTCTCTGCCTTTTTGCTTGTCTCAACCCCAGTCCCCTGTATCTCTGGCCTTAAATTGTTGACCTATTGTAATGTATGTATTTTGGGATTTTTATATTTAACTAGAAAGATAAGAAGTAAAGTTACATTAGGGAAAACATGCATTTGTTTTATTGTTGGTCTTGTTTCATGTATTGTATCTTATTTTTTTAGAATGTAACATTTAATCTAATTTGGCATCTAGTCGTATAAATAGCATAACAAACATAATTTAGCATTCCCTATTTTTTCAGGATGAGTTAGTACCTTCCATGCCACATGATCTACAACAATGTTTTTATGCAGACACTTAGTTATTGATTTTTGTTAAGCGTGAAAGACATCGATTACAGATTGTGTTGGATCTGTAAACCCACTGTTCTGGCTTTCTTTTACATACCCGCGGAAGCTTAAGTAGAGTTTAAATTTGTAACATTGACACTTTTATTTCCATCTACAGAGAGATAAAAAAAATGCTTCAGAGGTGCAGGAAATCACAGACAAGCTGGAAGGCAGCCAGGACCAGCGCCAACAATTGCCCAAGCTCTGTGGTCCTATATTGGGATGTTTGTACAAAGTGGGAAGGCATTCTTTCTCTTGGATCATATGTTCCATGCCCAACGCTTGACTTTTGCAGTTGCTGTACAAAATGCATAAAAAAATAATCGATTACCTCCATTGCGACGACAACATTATACACAATCCTGTTTCCTTATTTACTCCAGGTTTCTCATTAGAGACTTACTGAGGTCAGGCACAATATAATCAAGGACTGGGCGGTGCGTCCATGTAGAAGTCAATACCTCCCCCGACAGCCCAGTGCATAACCGATGTGCGGAGGGTTTATTGGGCACTGCACCTCCGATTAGCACGGTGGGCCACATACCGTGCGAAAAAAAGTTAAACAAGTACAAAGCACTGCTATGGACTCGGTGGTATAAGTAAAAATGTTCAATTAATTTAGATACCACTAGAGCACATATTAATAGTTTCAATATATAACAATAATTTCTAAGTAAAAATATTTTCAAACATTTCATCATAAGCTTAAGTGACTCCGTTTGTACTGGTGCACGTGCACACATCAAAACCACCCACCATGTTTTTGTCATTAATTATTCTTTATAATAGAATACAGATACAGATGTCGACGGTAATATGGAAGTGTTAATGATGAAATCTTTAGTGTGGATATGAAGGTGCATCATTTTGGGTTAGTAGCCCGTGTTAGGCATCATCTTAGACATGGTAAACCTACCTCCAGAACAAGTTGGCAGTAGAGAAAATAGGTTGCTGATCCATTTACCGCATATGGAATTGTCAGCGATATTATTATAGTGTATGCCTTACATGCAGTATAAATAATACACCACAGTGAGTTGATCAGCAGGTCGTGTGCGGTGGGGTAAAATGTGGGTACTGCTACATCTTCCAAGACGTCCGGTAAGATGTAGGCGAGGTAGGCCAACATTACGTGTCACCGACAGGGCTTGGATATAATTCCGCCAGCAGACACTGCAGGGCTGCTCCTTTGCCTTGTGTTACATACAAACATGAATTGTATTAATTAATTGGATTCGGGTTCGCTAGTTTTCTTGCACAAATAACGAAATGCTCAATATCAATTTGGCTTAAAATCCACAATAAATCCCTCCTGGAAAAAAAAGCATCGAAACTAAAGAGGCTTTTCTGTATGAATTCAAGTCTTATACTGTTTTTTTTCAGCTTGACGATTGTGATAAGTAGGTCATTTTGAACATCGAGCCTGTTGTTGTATCTGCAGATTTACAAGCATTCGCTTGACTGGAACCACTATGCGCTCTGTAAGCGAATACTGTGGCTTCCCACGCATCAAGATAAACCTCACCGTTTGGCTCATTACCACGGAAGCTTTACACGGCTGTAACATCATTCAAATGCTGCAGGCATTTCGTCAAGAGTACCAGAGGAATACTGTCTAACAAGCTAAAGATCGTGCGTTGCCAGTTCCTTATTTATTAATTCGTGGATAAAAGAACCATAATGGCAACAACGAATACGAAAGTATCCATGAAATCACTACAAAGAACATCCAATGTACCTATGAACTCCCAATACATTTCTACCCAATAATATGTACATATTGCGTATAAAGTGACATTCTTTCCCGATATTGTTGGTTACTGTGCTTCTTTTGTATTATTATAATGAATGACACTTGGTAGCATCCAGAAAAAATAACTGGCAGTGTAAAGCAGAGCTTTAAAAACATAAAAATATAATCTTAAGCAGGGGGATTCACTGTAAGCTTGGATGAAGCAAGCTCACCTCCATGTACTAAAAAAGATCACCTTTGTCCACGACTGTAGAAACAATTTGAGAGCTGAGTGGATGGACACTTTATTTTCAAACAGAGGTCGTGACCGCTTTTTTAATTGAATTTGTAAAACACAACAATATACAAATGGTAAAGGTACAGCCCTGCAATTTCTTGCTCACATCTTTGCTGCAAGAAGGACCTACATTAAAATGAGGTCTATATGCCCCCCTAGATGCTGTGTATTTATAATAGGGAGGGTGATCCTCATTACAATCCTTATTTACAATAAGGACCATGGATAAAATTGGCTAAAATTTTTCGTCGTGCATTATTCAATAACAAGAACCAATTCCAATCATAAAACGTATTTAGAAAAATAAAGACCACCGTCATATATATATGAGTTAAATTCCTGTTGAGGGGTGGAATCAGCCTATAATTGTTCTTGGGTTGATAAAATATCTACCACTTCTCTAGGATGTCATCATTGGTCATTCTGTAAAATCATTGGCCTCCACAATGTGAAATTTCCACAATTGGCTCAGGGCCACCGACAAATATTAAGGCTACATCAATATTTTGAGTGAGGAGACATTTTTACGTTTGACTTGGATTATGAAATAAGTATTCAATGAGTAACAGGTTGCTTGGAAAAAATAGCATGCATTTAATATCTGTCACCGAGTGGAGAAAAAAAACCCCTCAATATATTGTTTGACTGCCCTTCGTCAAAATAATGTGAAGGTCATTGAGCAGCAACAACGAAATAATGTAATTTTAATCTCCTAAATTGTTCCTATTGGTTATTATCTGAGGGAAATAAATGACACTAAATATAATGCAAGCAACATTTCACTTAATAAATATTAATTAAAAAACAGCACATTATTACCAAAATTAACACCAGCAGAACGATTGAAAAATACTTTGTACACAATACAAAATTATAAATAATTTAAATCAGACTAAATGAGACATTGTGAGCCGACAGTTAAACACCTCGGTAAGTAGTGGTGCTATTTAAAAATGCTTTAAACTTTGTTCGTGGTGTTGGCTGCTTGTGTTGATTATGTGGGCATCTCGAGCCAAGCTTCTTGGCAAAAGTGATTGGAACTTTGAAAGTTTATTGGAGGAGGAGACACGTGGCTCTGCCATAATGGGGGCTTACTTGGCTTGCAATAATGGCGATGATGGCCAAATGAAATGAAGATGACAAGCTTTATTGATGTTGCTCATCAGAAAAAATGCTCCTTTCATTTAATCGTTGGTTCTCGCTAACAAAAAATCACTTTCAAATTTGAAGCAGCCTGTTTCCTTTTCGCACATTTTAAACGTATGTGTGCGTGCATGCCTATGCATGTTAGCGAGTGGTGGAGGGAATGAGGCGACTGGATGCAAGTGCACAATGATAATAATAACCTTCAACTTGTGTGATTTTGTTTCAGAAGGAAATGCCTAGAGCGTCCCAAATGAATGAAGACGCCGTATTGTCCTTACCGAGCCCTAAACAAAAGCCCCCTTTTACTGTCGCAGCTGCAAAGAAATCCCAAACCGAAAGAAGCAATCAGGAGGACTGCAAAGGTTTATCAAAGCGAAATCTTGTGCCGCCCCCAATTGTTACAATAACAGAGACTATTGACAGACCTGACATTGAAAAGCCTATCAGTAATGAGAAAGACCACAGTGATGAGAAGTTTATACGAAAGCCCTTAAAGCTGGCTCCACTGGACCTCCCAGATGACGTGAAAAAGTCCCAGCTTGAAAAAATTGCCGTCGGATACAAGGTCGACGTTTCTCGCCCGGGGAATCACATGCCCGGGAGCGACTTGTCAAAAGCATTCCATGCACAGCGAAGGACTCTGGCTCCATTAGTTTTGGACACGATGGAAGAAATGAAACGTAAGGAAAAGGCCTTGTTGGTTGTCCCAAAGGAAGAGACGATTTTTCAAAACAAGCGCCACCTCGGCGCCGAATTGATGCCAGCGAGCAAAAGTCACTTTCTCCCGCAGAAGTCGGGGCCTGAGTTTTCACCGGGCGTTAAAACAGCGCGTGAAATTAGATTTCGGGAACCGCGTCAGAACGTTAAAGCTTGCGTAAATAACGCAGCCGTCCCCCGCGATGGTGCGCATAGATCTGACGCATCACCATCCCGTTGCAAATTGGAGATAGAGCGGGCGGGTCTCAGACAGGTTTCTGAAGCGACGAGAACCTCTGTGCAGCGAGTGAATGCCGCCACTAACCCGCCAAAGACCAATCGATTCAAATCAGTCGGGAATATAATTGAGAATCACACCCACTTCGAAGGGAAAGCCGGGTCATCTAAGCGTACAGAAAGAGTCCTCAGCAATGCAAATAAACTGTTGGAGACGTCATCAAAAGCACAGCTTGTCAAAAAGAACGGCGATCATGCAAATTAATCTCCAACCAGTGGAAGCATCTGAAGACGAATCCTAATAGTTGCAGAAAACCGCGCTAAATTGATAACGTGATTGTTTTGGTGCATTTGCACAGTGCGCTCATGCCACAGACAAATCGAATGTGCGTCATGTTTAAATTGACTGTTTATTGACTTGACTTTGCTTTATTTTAAATGTTTGTTTAACGTTCACACGAGATTAGTTTAACGTGTATGCGTGTGCGTGTGTGAAACACATGAGCGGTAGTGTAGCGGGTTAGCGCACTGCGCTACAAAAAGCCGGGAATCAAAACTGGCGAGCCGGGTTTGATTCCCCCTGCCAGCTAACACCAGTGACAATTATCTGAACCGGTCTCTGGGGCTTCCGTTAGTCGACTCAGCCGCGAATGAGTAGCTGCTGGTGTGATATGTAAACATGCTACTGAGAAGACAAAGGAAGCCAGGCGTGGTGCTGGCCACCCACCCCCTCGTGAAGCCTTGCCGACCTTCATTGGTGCTCGCTAACAGCACTTGCCCCAACAGTCTGCTAAGGCTATACGGGGGATCTTTGGCTTTTTCATTCGTGAGACTTGTTGTCCAATGTTACATGGACTTCGTGAAAATATCGTCTGGTATGTAAATGTATCTGCTGCTGTAAATGTTTTCACAAATATATATTGAACTATTAATATCTGAAATGCAATATACGTTTTTAATGATTACTTTTAGAAATGTTTCGATTTTTAAACTGCAATATGTCCAATTCACAAATTTACATCAGTGTATGGGTCGTGTTGGCTATACACACAGGTAAAGTTCATGTTTGTCCTACCATAACAAATGCTTTTCTTTGTTCCTTGAGCCCACTACATCTACATACCTCAGATTAGCACGGTTAGCTACGTAGAGTGCGAAATAAGTTCAACATACGTACATCTCCAGTACAAATGTGAACATATTCTTAGCTCTTTCGGTAAAGTCACGTTGAAGGGAAACAATAAAATATATATGACTTTACCGAAAGAGCTAAGAATATGAATTACTGCAGTCACGAAAGCTTTAAATCAAAATGTGAACATGTTTTCTCCTTAGCTTTGCACAACTCAAAGGACGTTCCAGGTGCAAGTAGATTTGCACGTAAACAAAATTGCTCTGCCTTTTATTCACATGCTGACCTGCAAATTCCGTCTTTACTCCTCCCTGCGAGGGTCCCACGCCGTGAATGAAATTACTCAATCTGAAAGGTACGCACGAGGAGAGAAACGAGGGGCCCGTTGGATACGCGCCGCTCTGTGTATTCCCCATAATAGAGGTTTTTGGGTTAGATCGCCGAAATATAAATGTGCCGTTAAGCTCGCCACCACCCGACACATCCAATTAGTAACGATTTTGTTCACGTGACAAATATTTGGCTGTGTCGGGTGGTGGCGGGTTTACGCGATCTAACCCAACAACCCCTATTATGGATAATGGATATTGGTCGCGATGGCCTACCTGTTGGACTGCTTTGCGTATTCTCCGCCACAATGCGGCAACTTTGAGCCAAAGTACAATTGTTAAGTTTGACCTCCCATGCCGGAGGCGGGGAAGGGGGGGGGGTTGTTGACACACCTCTAGTGAAAATAAAATATGGTTGCACGATCCCTCGAATGTTTGCGCGACCATCAGTCACGAACTGCCGGGTCGAGGTGGCCACTTGGCTCGCTGGGGGTGCTTTCAATCCCCGTGTTCGAGCACTGAGCCGTCATCGCTAGTGAGATTGTGCTCTCGCACCCAAGCCACCGCCTGCTATTAACACTGGGTTCCCAAGCACAACATTCTACCCCGTAACCAGTGATATATATGCACACACACAGGAACAATTATACGGTACTTAAGCGGTTTGGTGTCGCTTTGGAACATTTAAATTACGAAAACGAACATTTGGTGAGTATAATTTACGCTTACTTCTGCAGGGGTGTATATAAATTTGTGCCATCTTGTAACAGAGACGATGCCTCCTAACTGCTGAAGTGACGTCGGCGGGACAGTATTTACGTCTTGTTATTTTATGAAAGATCCAAAATCGACAAAAAAAACATGAATGACGTCACGCGATTTCAATGGGACAATTAAGGCAATATAGTTGGGGGGGAAGCAATAACAGGGTTATAGGCCAGCTGTTTGTCCGAACTCAGCAAAAACAAAAACACTCTTCCCAGTTGTTGGTGTCGTGCCGATGATGCCGCGGTGGGTGTCAATGTGCGAATGTCTCGGGATTCAATTGGATTCGAAAACAACTGCGGTGCGTAGTGGGGACAGTTTTGCCAAGCGCAAACGGCCACGCGCAGGGACAGGTTGCGCGTGCCGAACCACATTTCAATTGCGGCTGCGAAGAAAACCGTGCCAACGATGAGGATGAAGTGTTTTCGCACAGGCGCACGCGCATTGTGAATTGGATTTCCGCAACAACTTGTTCGGCATGCCTCTATTAAAAAAAAAAATAGAGGAGATAATAGGATTATGGCTGTATATATATAAATATATAAAAGCAAAACTGCCAAATTATATTGCACTCACTGAGACAGAATCCCATAATAACTATAATTACATTCTTTACAATGTTCTCATGAATTGCTTGTCATATACCCACACTCTAGTCTAATACATATTGTATCTTTGGGTGGAACGCTGGATTGGTGCTTAGTGTACTACACTACGAACATGACGACCTGAGTGCAATACCTGGCCATGGCTAACATCAGTGCCGAGTAATATCCTAATAAGTACAGGGCCCTCAAAGCCCCACGACCTTCGCCAATCTGCACGACTTTGTGTGATGAAGTATGGTTATATAATCCCCGTAGCCGTCATGGGAGTGGAGTGGCCACCAGTCAGCAGTGGCTTTACAAAGGGCTGTAAAATCACGTGTTCTCTTGTGAACATCGCATGGAGTATCTCCAAACAGTTGCGATTATAATGATATGGCAAGTTTATGAAAGATTTTGTGACGAGAAAATGTAAAAAAAAATCCATCATGAAAGTCACGCATGGCACACATTGATGTATCGACTAACATAATAATGAATAGTTGCTTCGACATATTAGTAATAATATGGGTTGGATGATATTCATTATTTTTTGCTTGGATATAATTTTCACATACGATGGGATAATAGAAAAACGTATTCACGCAGATACTCTTTCATAAACCTACTTTCTGCACTGCATCATTCAAAAGCTTGCTTGCCCTGCAGGTGAGTGTTGCACGCAGAATTCATCGCAGTGTGATCCAAAAACCCTTCAGGCATACCCCACCAGAGCCATCAGTTAAAACAGACATTAACTTTTATAACGAATTAGGTTTTTAGAAAGTCAGCAGCAGCGATCATATGTCGAAACTGGTCGCTAGAATGTGGAATTTCCACTGCTGGCAAAGGAGGTGGGCACTATCCCGTGCTCGTTTGGGTAGAGACTATTTGACTTTTCAACGTATATTCATGGCTAAATCGCCAAGACTGTAGCAACGTGCTTGTGTAAAGTAATATTTCTTCAGCAGTTTGTCTACATTAATTATTTTCGAGAATTAAATCTTATCAAACCTTCTTATACTTTCCTGTGAAATGCCCTTCCATTCCTCAAATTTAAGGTTCCTGCTCGAATGGGCATTGGTTGGTATCCATCTTCTGTTAAAAAGGTAAGGGTGCAGCCCTGCAACTATTTTCTATGACACTGCCAGCAAAAGGGCCTCCACACTATAGAAAGCTCCAGAGGGCCTCCTATGGAGGGTATTTTGGACTTTTCTTTCTTGCTGGTAAGACATCTTGGAAGAAGTGGAAGTGCCCACACTTTACCCCATCACACATGATTTGCAAATCAACCGTGGTGTACCCATTTAAACTGCTGGGTGGACACAGGTGAGGAATTTAAGAAACTGACCCAGTGCTTCAACTGCCGGAGTTGGAAAAAACCGGGGTCTAAATCCACATTCTTATGGATGAAGGGCTGGATCGACTGCTTCTTTAGATTTGAGTGAATAACCTTCTGATTGAGAGCTGCAGACCCTTAATAGTTGCACTGACCGGCTGGTTGAGAACTCCCGTTTTGATTTAATGTATATAAAATTGCTAAGTAGAACCAACAGGGGGAACTGGTTTACATTTCAATGCATTAGATCAATCAGAACCATTATATTATGGGCTGCACACAAACCCTGAATGTACAACGTGTGCACCATCTGGCTCATCAATAAAGATGGTGCGGTTTCCCGAGCCTCAAATCACATATATTGTTGGTAAGATCCATTAAGCAGCGATGCATGCATCTTGCATCCAACCCATGCCGTAGACAAAACGATACCGAAGCTCGCTGCTTCTGAAGCCCGTGATGTCGCAAACTGAGGCTGACCATTAATTGATGGCTGATTAATGCTTCATGTTATGTATACCTTGCATTAAAGAAAAGTATGGTGCTCCGAGTACTGAATCAGTCGTTAGTCGCTATTGCTTTATTCAAATTAGAGACAGGAGTCAGAGATCATGGCTCTTGTCCGTAATATTGGATTCCCCAACAGTTACACCATTGGAAACCTCATTTGCCAGTAAAAAAATATGATAATTGTTTTTTTACCCTTTATCTGGCAACAAAACTGACACCTTTTTTACAAGGAGTCATGTTTACATTGACCACAATACCTGCGGTCGGAACGTTGTTTTTTGTTTGCGTTCCGACCGCAGGTATTGTGGTCAATGTTAACATGACTCCTTGTAAAAAAAGTGTCAGTTTTGTTGCCAGATAAAGGGGAAAAAAACAATTATCATATTTTTTTACTGGCAAATGAGGTTTCCAATGGTATAAATGCTTACCCCGAGCGCCCATTCTCTGATGGTGCATTGTCTTTGAGTTGTGCGCCTTTTGGCGTCTTCTGGTCCAACACCATGTGAGACGAGGCTCTAAAGAAAGCTGTCTCGGGTGTGGACCAATCAATTTCAAGGACAGTGCCAATACATTATCAGAGTTGTTGTTTTTGTTTGCGTTCCGACCGCAGGTATTGTGGTCAATGTAAACATGACTCCTTGTAAAAAAGGTGTCAGTTTTGTTGCCAGATAAAAGGGTAAAAAAACCAATTATCAATTATCATTTCCCAACAGTGTTTAAAGACCACACCCTGCTGATGAGACGTTGTGAAGTTGAAACCCATTCAAGGTTGCAATACTTAATACCAGAATGATATTGTTGTTAAATCTTGACTTTAAGCTTTCGTGACTGCAGGAATTCGTAATATTGTTGTTGCTGTCGTCGGCCAGTAACTTACGGCGGCATGGCAAGCACCTCCCCCATTCGCGTCCATTCCTTCCTTTCAGTCGTTGCTCTCTGTCCAGCATGGCCTCCGAGACCTGCGATGTCGTCTCGCTGCTGCCGTCTCTTCCGCCGTCTTCCTCTGCCTCCGTTGCCTCCTCTCGATCTCCGCTCCGTCGTTAGTTTTGTCTCTCCTCTGTCGTTCTCGTGATGCATGCTGCCCATTTCCATTTGATTTATTTGCTGCAAAACATGAACATTTAATAAATCCTGTAGATCAATGGATGGAATTACACGTCACAGATTAACAAATCCTAGAGATTAAAACAAAAACTATTGAAATGCATTGATCGAGAAGGCCCATTCGTCAATGGATTAAAAGTTGCAGTATTTAATCTTGGAGATTTAACAAATCAATTTATCTGTGGATTTATTTGCTTTATTCTAATTTCCTATGTTTAGCCATTTAGTTCCCTCTAATCTGACAATGGGTTGCCAAATCTTGTCAGAAATTGTTTAATTAGTATGTTTCTTTTTTGTTGGGTGTAGACATCTACATTTTCTTACATTTTCGTTATCCAAAACCTCACCTGTACCAAAACTCATGAAACGTAAGTACCTATTTGTCACATGAATGCCTCAAGACATATAATTTCTTCTCCATTTGCATATTGCGTGCAGAGAGTACAATTGCCCTTTGGACGTGACTTTTAAAAGTTTCACGTTATAGAATGAGATATTTTTTTTACTTAAAAAAGTTACGTTGACACAATGCTCACTTAATATGTAAAGTAACGTATAATATCTCTCGGATGTTGGGCTTGAACGCGAATATCCTTCGCAAAGTAAAACGGTTTGTTTAACTACAAGATTGTGGTTTATTCTGTTTCAGATCAGCCGAACAAAGCCTGGAAGCAGCATTGACATAACAATATTTTTTTAGTTATAAAGTCATCTCTCATTGAGCGTTGAGGCTTTTTCATAAAAGTCCTGCATTGGGCTGTCTAGTCCGTATGAAAAACTACAGCACCTGGAGACAATACATACATATGGCAGGATAGCTCTCATACACCTCAACATATTGATCAAAAAACAGTGCACAGGGTTTCGCAGTTGTGCTGTATAGCTCTCCCGTGTGTCATCCGGTTAAATTCGTCAGCGTGATGCCCGATGTTTTAGACATGTCCGACGATTCGCTGCACCTGCTGGGAGCTTCTTCTGTTCCTGAGAACCCACCGGCGAGCAATCAGAAACCAATTTGCTTTACTGCCATCTGGTGGGCTAGCCTGCACCCTGTAACAGATTCGGGAGTCATGTACATGGTTATATCTGCATACTGTACAGAGATCCACCAACAGCACCTTCAAAGTGGGTTACAGGCATTCATCAACACTCGCAATAACATGAACAAGCCAGGCAACAGTCAAAACTGCATTCTTGTGATCAGTAAACAGACACATTTTCCTCGGGTGTCACTGCCCTTCTTGAGCAGCCACGCAATGAAGGAGTGCAGGGTGTATCCCTCCAATGGTTTGCTTATGACGCTGTTGGTGGAAGGATATCAACTATATACTCTCAAGGGTATGTTTGGTCTACTCTTTCACAATGGGCAGACATTTTTGAAGAGGATGCGAGTAGCCAAACTTTAGCCCCCCCCCCCCCCCGCTGCATGCGACCTACCAATTTCCTAACTATGTTGTACCAATGTATACTGCCCAGCGTGCAGAAGTAGCGGGGTCAAGAAACGTGTCAATTTTCTTTCAACTGCCATGCCGGGAAATCGAACTGGCAATGTCTGGATTGCAAGTCCAGTCTGGTAACCATTGCAAAGTTAAGTATACTAACCATTGCAAGTCCAGTGTGCTAACCGTACAAAAATAAAAATCTAAGAGACACCTGGGCCACAATATGGGCCCCATGTCCATGAAAAGCCAATCTGGCACCTTGTGATACTGACAGAAACAGCTTTGGAGGTGCAAGCAACAAAGCAACCACCAATTGCGACAAGCTTACCAGGCTCTCTTGGACCTATAAGTGAAGTCTCAAATCCCAACCTTTCCACGTGCAGCTGTGCTTGTTTGTGTGTTTGTTGTGCAAATAGACAAACCTGGCTCCAGCAGGACATAGGCATCAACCACATGCGGTTGTTACATTGGTATTTTAATGCCTGATAACACGGACGCTTTGAACACCGGGCAGCAGAAGCTAATATTTTTCTTTGCAAAACAAATAGTTGTTTGTACTGTGACACATTTATAGTAGGAAGCTGCACACTGATACAAACCTGTATTATACACTTTCATTTTGCATTGTGTTTTTGTTGATCACATTGTATTTCGTGTCTTATTAATCCATTATTGGTCAAATTGAACCAGTTTCAGAATATATTTTAAGGGAAGGCAATGGTAGACTTGTCTCTTGACAGCATACAATTAAAATAAGTGTCAAATAAATACACGTACCAGTGTTTGTTCCTTAAAGACTACTTTCTCTTCAGAACAATTGAATAAAAAATGTGAAATGTCTCCTTTATAAGCCATACACCCAGAAAGCACCAGATATTAACAAAAAAAAAACGTACAGCATATCTGAAGACGTGAGCATGAGTAACTCACATGTCGTGAATTTACAAACGTTTCGCCAAACGTTTTGCTGACAAAGTCCAGATGTTGAGCAAAGGAGGCGAGGGGATTGTTCTCGTGTGCACTTATGCCTGGAGCGTTGCCTTTCATTGGCGGAGAGGGGATCGGTGTGTGTGTGTGCGTGTCAGTAGGCGAACGTCACAACTTCTCAAAAAAAGTTGCTTTTGCTTTGGGTTTTTGTGTGTGTGTGTCTGAGCGGTGGTGGGGGGGGGGAGTACTCACAGGAAGAGGAAAGAGAGAGAGAGGGGGTGAGAGCAAGAGCAGAAGAGAAGAGAAAAGCAGGGCCGTTGTGTAGCATTGCAAACGATCTCTCAGTAAACGGCAGCGTGTGATGGTGAAAGTGCATTCCGCTGGTAAGCGTGTGTAGATTTGGAATGCAAAGCAGTAAAACCGTAAACATCATTAAACTATCTCCAGCATCATAGCTGTACTCGGAGTTTAAAAGTTAACTGGTAGGAGTAGGTAAAGTTTGTATCTTTATGCCATTTTTTACGTGCTGTTGTATTATTTTCCATAGCTTGCATGCAAACGTTTGTCAAAATCACGTGGTAAATATTGTTGTACTGTCTGATTTTTTTGACACAATAGCTTTTTTTTCTTCCTGTGGTCGTGGTGATAATGTCGTGCGCATATGTTATTTGTTGATAACCTACATATCAGTTGTAAAAAAAAGTTTTTTTTGTTTCTGGAAGAGTGTTCCACTCACCAAAATGAGCTTTGACATTTGTGTGTGAGACACGGGTGTCATCTTATCTGCATGAGATTTGCATCAGCTACAAACAAAGCTACAAATAGTTTCGGCCGCATTGTGTGTTTGGGTGGCGTCATTTTTTTAGAGGATTCTTCAGAAGTTTTTCTTTAACTTTTAATCGTCGTTATATATGTGTTTCTATATTACTTTTAAACCGCAGTAATCCTCCAGCAGTAAGCGATAGACAGCGAACAGTTTGAAAGTATAATAGTGTGCCACCAGTGGTGAGGAACGTGCAAAACGACGTGGCCGGCAGGTATAGAAGAGATTATGTCTGTTCCTACCGTGCATGATGGTGCTTGCTCCGAGTTTGTGAGCGATCTGGTTACATTGAAACTTCCATGCGCTGATGTAGCATTTGCGGTCATCCTTAACTGATTTACAGGTCAGCAGCATGCTTTGCTAGTTCTTCATTTCCCGCGTATTTATATATTTTTTATCGCGAATTAAGTGTAAGTGCTTATTCCAGAACTGCACTATTTTGCTTTAAGTAACGTGGGTGCAACGCGGTGTTTTAATGTCCTTTAATCGTTGCAAATGTATAGGGAATCAAATAACATACCACCTTTCATCCTCAGAGAGTTGTTTAAATGTATCCATAGGGGCAAGTGAGTTAGCGAGCACCTATTGAGGTAATTGTGGCAAATTAATTGCGTCGGAGCTACAACCACAGCTGATCGTCTATCATTGTTGACTTAATCTTGATGTTCATACATCACAGTTCGTACTCATTTTAGGCTAAGTTTATTTATGGGCATCTCAGAGAAGGTTGACATGCCAATTATCAGTGATGTACCTGGCCTGGAATTGAACTTTGGGCATTGAAATTCAAGTACAGTGCAATGCATGAACACCATATAACCACTATGCAAATTGTACATAAACACAAACAAATGCCCCCATATAGCCTGTAAGGACTGTTGGGGCAACTTCTGTTAGAGAGCACTTACGAAGGCCAACACGGCACACGAGGGGGGTGGGTGGGTGGCCAGCACCATGCCCAGCTGCCTTTGTCTCCCAGTGCTGATTTTTAGACACCGCATCAGGTACTCATTTAAGGCTGAGTCGACCTACGGGAGGCCCAGGACAGGTTCATATATTCGTCGCTGATGTTGGCCGAGGGCGTGAATTGAACTCGGGTGGCATGGTTCGTAGCGTAGTACGCTAACTATTGCGCCACCGTTCCTCACAGGAACATGCACACACACACATGTCCATGTTTAATGTGAGTGTGGGCATTGCTGTTTTTATTTCTGAGTAATCACTGTTGTTGAAAACTATTGTGCCAGGGGCTCACCAGGTGGTACATATTTTATTGATCATGGTCTTGCAACCTGTCCTTTTTTTGATTCACACTGCCCTTTTTATAAGCTCTCCAGATCATTTCATATAGAAAGCAGGGAATGGTGATATTTTCCGTTGGTATGTCCACAACAGCAAAACCACTGTACAGTTAAAAAAAAACATAACGTAGCTTGCCATATTTCTACTGAGGGAGGGGAGGGAGGGAAAGAGCCAGGGAGGGAGAGGCCTGTTTGTGTGCACACGAAGCATATACTTGGAAGCCTCAATGCATCTCTTAAGTGTGTAATCTAAATTGCATGTCTCTCGTCGCATTTTTTTTTAGATTTAAAATGTGCAAAGCTCTATGATGGTATAGTTTATGCTTCTGGATTATGTGAAATTGCAATTATTGTACTATACACTTGAATCTAATTGATGTGTAATTAAGTTCTTGACCTATTTCTTCTTTCCTGAATCTGAAAAGATGATTTATAATTGGAGCTCTTATGTCACGACTCATGGCCCTACACGTGGCCAAAGCATGCTTGCACAGCAACTCTATCAAATGCCAGCAAATAAGACAATCTTCTTTGGTTCTTTCGGTAAAGTCACGTAAAACAACACAATAAAACACAATAAAATTCTCACAATAAAACTGTGAGAATTTTATTCTATATTTTTTTATTTTATTCTCATTCTACGTGACTTTACCGAAAGAACCAACGAAGATGAATCCTTGCAGTGACGAAAGCTTTAAATCGAAAAGACAATCTTGTTTATTTCATCTAATGTCAGGGATGCCCTACATCTTATTTGTACTGGCGGCTTGCAATGCGTCCACGAGGAGTATTTTAAGATGAGCTTAAAAGTGGCGAGCAACTGTTCCCTTGCACGCTTGGCGATATTTTGCAACTTTAAATGCCTTTTCTCGGCACTGAAAACCAGATGGTCGCTTTTGAAGCAGCAAGTTAGAGAGTTTTATATTACTGCACAAGTATTCTCCTTGCCCAAGTATGGTTAAAATTGGCTGAGCAGCTCTGCCGTAAAGATCCTGAAGTGCTATGCAGAAGTGGGGGGGGGGGGGGGGGGGGGCAGGGGGGGCGGAAACATTTCCATATTATCAGCAGAGTCAAATGAAAATAGCCCCTTATGTTGCATGAGGTTTCATAAGTTAATACTACCAATGCGTGAAAGCGTCCTCAATCAATAACAATACTAGCTTATACCATTAAGAGTGTATCAGCCCTTGTGCTGTGTATCCGGGGAGAGAATGTTAACAATAACGTGGGTCTGTGTCCAATATACGGGCACTGGAAATCCAGTGGAACAGCAGTGCCTTGTGTGCCAGTGGCCCGACCACGTGCTCCTTATGGTGTTATCCCGGGGTACCAAATAATACAAATTGGCCGAGGCAATTAAATATTTTATTTCTGGGACACTATTTTTTCCAGGGGTGAACTTAAATCCGCGACTGGGGTACCAAATCAAGCCGAAATCAGTGCCACTCCGCGATGTCGAAACACCCAAACATTAGCATGAAATAATCCGTTATCGAAAAATTCTACTTTGAATCGTGCATCGTGTAACAGCTCGTCGAGATGAGTCGATTGCCGCATTCGCCGACTCATCAACAGACTAAAAATGACTGCATCACGGACGTTATGCGAGAGCCCGGGGTAGCTATGGTACCAAGGGGTACCGCCATAATGTTCATATGGTCAGCATGTGGCATCTTCACGATCGGAAACCATGAACATGCGTGCAACCCTCACTGCCTTGGTGGTTGGTTTTTTGCTGTGATCGTGATGAAGTCAGCGGTGGCTTGCCTTAGGATTGTACCACACATGCACGCTATTTTTCCATGCACTGGTCTACGTCTCCGATGTTCTCTCGCGTCAATTGAGGAGCAACTAATAGGTGGAGAATTCATGCGCTGGGGGAGGGGTGGGGAGGTGGTGCGTTGGCTCGTGCACTCTGCTGTGAGACCCGGAGATTCGAATTTTATATTCCAGTCACGGCTTACATCAGTGGCGAATGACATCTAGAACTGGTTCTGGGCCCCCTTTCACCGAGCAGCAATGACCAGCATGGTGAAGTATGGTGAAAACAATCCCCGGCGTTTCAGTTTATTTATTTTGGTATAGCCCTGTAAGCCATTCGGCTCTTGAATCGGGTGCAACCACAACAAAAAAACAAAAACACGAACAAGAAAAAACATCTTAAAGTGACTATGTGACTGTGCAAACAGAAAATCCATGAAAAAAACAGCAAAATATTCCTGAAAAAAGCACCGTACACCAACGCTGTGTGCAAAAAATCCCAGTGGGAAGCCTTCATCCAGCAGTGGATTGACAGAGGGCCGAAAATCAATCTCACCTTTTAATTTAATGATGCGCGGTCCCCCGTTGGCCGTGTTGGATCCGTGTTCGATCTGTGTTCGTTATGAGCATCACTCAAGGGCACTGCTGGGCTACATGACTAATGCCCCTGGTTACCTGACACCTTCTAAACGGGCATACCTATGAACAAGCCGAAGCAGATGTAGCATCTGTCCAATTAAACAATTCCTTATGGTCTAAATAAATAAATAGATCGGCAAAGTTGCATAGTACTCAACGTCATTGCTTAAAAAAAAACATTACATTCTATGTCGTCAAACACTTGACTCAGCAGTTAGAAAACACGTTGTAACAAGTCACAGTTCCCGGTCAACTTTACTCAATGTCATTTTGGGGTCAATAAAATAGATACTATTTTGTGGGAAGTCAACAGTGGTTGTCCTGTGAATTGATCTCTCCCTCCCCCACAACTGCATGGATTGTTCACGATTGGCTCAGAAAGTGCCGATGGTGATTCACGCACACCACCACCGCACGTCTGAACAAGGTTTACATTTTCACTCAATTTAGACTTGGTAAACAATCATGTTCGCATAGTTACCGAAATGCGGAATGTTAATGTTTTCTTGGAAGAGTGCAGGCGCAAAATGAATTCAGCCACTGTCTCGCTGCGTTTCGCCAGGGGCACAATTCAGAGCGCAAGAAGCTCTACCTTGCCGTAGATGAATCAAACTATCACTCAAAGGCGACACCCATGTCTCCTCTGCATGTGCTTGAAGCTGATTGCATCGTTCACGTTTTGTTGACGTAACCAGTTGTCTCTGTGCCTCCGTGTTTTGCAGGGCAGTAAGAAATGATCGCCCTGCGCAGAGTGTGGCTTGTGCTTTGGATATGTATTGCATCTCTAGAAGAACGGACGAAAGCTGGAAGAGCTGGTAATGTGTGCGGATGTGTGATTGCGTGCTTGCTAATACACTGACAATAACGCTGCAATGATTTCACGGGGAAATGTTGTGGTGTAGTGGTGGTGCTGCGATTAGTGCATTGCATTATCTACCTGGTTATCCGAGCTCGATTCCAGGCCATGGCTAACATCAGTGGCGAGTGTTATCTGAAATAGTCCTTCACACCAACCCGCATTGACCAGAGTAGTGAAGTATAGTCAAAAATCCTCAAGACTAACATAGCGTTGGGAGACCTTTATCCAGTAGTGGATTCCAAGGCTTTAAAGTTTGTGTTATTTTAAGAAAATTGGGTGGAACGCACTGTGCTGAACAAGTTCCAATGGAAAATAATAAACCATTGAAGTATGTTAACCAGAATCATTCCTCTTTTAATTACATTTTCATACAATTTTATAACAATTTTATCGCATTCAATACACGTTGAGAATGGAATATTAAAACACATTTTGTACTTTTTCTAACAACTTACTGCACTCATTTGCCTATTACACCCCCTTTAAAGGAAAACAAATATATATTTGCAACAATTCAAGCAATGGCCCATTTTCATAGCACACGGTATTGCAGCTGTTGTCTTTAAAAATACACAATTGATTTGGTGATGCTGCATTTCCATTGGTCCACAAGCACCAACAACAACAATCTCAAACATATTTTTAAATAACACAGTGACCTTAAAAATAAAATACATGTTATGATAAAGGACCATTGCCTAAAATGTCGCCTGTTTTTTTTCCCCCTTTTAAAGCGGTGCGATTGACGAATGTGCTGATGCTGTTGTATCACCAGTGTGTGATCATTAGGATCGAAAGTGTATTGCACTATTCATTGTGATACCACGGTTTGTGGGCACGTACGCACACTGTAGGGCTGTATAGCCTATAACCCGGAACATTTTAAAGTATTTTTCTCATCGTGAGATAATTGAAATGCAACATAGTGCAAAGATTGATTCCCGCTGCTGTTACCATTAAAATCAAACATGAACCATTACTTTTAGAAAGTAACTAAAATTGCTAATACACAAAACAATATATTGATATTTTATTACGTAGGGTTCAACAACAGTTATTGTGTAAATTTCAGATGTGATATTCTCAAGTACAGCACTGCGAGTGATTCAACAATATTTCTTAAAGAGGATTTGCCAAAACATCCCAAATGCAGGCAAAACAAAACTCTAATTGACTTTCCTATATATCTTCGTACACGCTTATTCATATATTTATCTCGTAATTTAATTAATAGCATATATAATCACAACTCTGTTCGTCCATCAACCTACTGGCTTTTCAGCTCAATATTGTCAAGCAGCAATTGTTTAAGCAAGCACACTCTGTACTGCTTTTGACCTTCTGAGTCTCATCAGAAGCATTGTTAAACATCCTTCTGTGTTTCCAGATATTATTTGCAAGAGCACTCCTGTTAAACAACGATTGAATGCAATTATTGGCCTGTTATACAACGGGACAGAAACACTCATAATATTTATTTATTTATTTGTGTCATTACATATTTACACGAAATTCTGAGTACTGCAAATGTGCATTAACATTATGGCAGAGTCACACAGTATCATTGCAGAACATTTCATGAATTGAAAAATGCATCCAATTATTTATTTTCTAGAGCTTCAGTGGTGCACCAATGAATCAATTCATATTGATAATTCAGCTTATAATACATGCATTACATTGAATGTGTAAGATTTGTTTTTAAGATTAGTTTTTTTTTTAAGTGTGTTGCACATAATGGGTTCAGGTGACATTTCCAGCCACTGTAGGCCACTACATTAACCAAAACATATATATGAACCAAAATAATATATAAATAGATATTTTTTTCAAATTACGACCCTCACTGATGACAATTCAATCAATCGTGAGGGGTGCAAATCGTTAGACCCATATTACATACACAGTTTATAGCAGTACCTTTACTCTTTGTCAAATTAATTAAAATGCTATTCAATTGTATCAGGGGTTAGTCAAGTATTACGATAATTAAAAGGTTTTTTCTGGTCTTTTAATAAAATATTCTAATATTGCTTACGGCATCATGTCATGGGACAAAGTATACAATATTAGCCCTTGCAGAGCAGTGCATCACCTCATATTAGAGAATGGGTCCACAAAAGTAGATATCACAGAACTACATCTGATATCCAAATTATCTCTATCCACAAGAACGGTCTGTGCACCTCCTCACATGTCCTGCTGCAGAGAAATGCCCATCAATAAGCAATCAAACTGACACTTTAAAATCTCAGAATTGATGGAAATTTATCAAATGAAGTGAAAACTAAAAAAAATATGATGGAATTGAGGATGTAGCTTAATCACGGATGGCTGCCCAGATTCAAACCCAGGATCTCAGCAGTGCCAGCTCACTGCTCTGACCCCTTGAGCTACCAGGCCTCCTCAATAATGAAAAATTCGAAAAATGTATATTGCCTGATGTGCATTGCTTATTGCAATGTCCCATCTCAATCCTATTCCAGAAATGCATTCATATTTGGAACATATTTATGGTTGTATTAAAGGTATTAGCCCCATGTACAATAATATAGCGAAATCTTGTCTTTATGCTTTCGTGACTGCATGAATTAATATTCATTGGGTCTTTCGGTAAAGTCACGTAAAACAAAAAAAATTGAATAAAAAACTACAACGTTTTGATCACAACACAAGCAATCGAAACGTCGTAGTTTTGTTGTAAAAAAGAGTTGTTATACGTGACTTTACCGAAACTCCCAAATAATATAATAGAGCTATATGTTAAATCCTAATATTCAGAATATCACCTACATGCATTACTTACGCCTTAATATATGCACAGCCTAAGACCAATTCACCCGGAAATCTCAGAAGCTAAGCAGAGTATCGCCAGGATTTTGAGGTTAGTGACCACAATCTATAAAAACGGGTGTTATAGGCTTTTGCAGGGCTATGTTGTGGGCACCACAGGGCAATTCAGCAATGCCCATTGTTGTAATTCACTTCTAGGTTACCAAATCTTTGCTCCCGACCTTCGCATGTACCGCATGGTGAAGTATGGTCAAATAACCCCATATGACTCACTCGGTGTTGGCAGGCCTTCATCCAGCAGTGGATATCAAATGTACTGCACTTGTGCATATACACAGTAATCTCGGTTTAAAAAAAAATTAAACACACTTGACTGCCGCGGATTGTACAACTAAACACCAAGCTCAACTGTGGCGTTAGCAATAGTGCAGCTGCCTCGTGCCTGGGTTTTGAATTCCTTCCTATAAGTTAATTTCATTGTCATGTCGCCGTGGTGTCATGGTTCGCGCGGACTGGGCTTGCAATCCAGAGGCCCGCGGCTCGATCTTGATCTCACGGTGCGGCAAATGAAAGCAAATGGAAACGTTGCATTAAATCCCCATCCCACTGCCACTGTCCACCTGGCAGTACAGATGGGTACACCACGGTGGATCGTCAGGTGGTGTGTGGTGGAGTAAAGTGTGAGTTACTCCCATCTCTTCCATGACGTCTGTAGTGGAGTAGTGGAGGTCTCATCTGCCACGAATGGAGTTATAAAGCGATTGCAGGCTGCGCCTTTACCTTGTAAAATTTATCTTACAACATGTGTAAAGTGGCTATGAATGTAAGCCGCATCTGCCATTGCAATGCTTGTACGTACAGTAGTACGATTGTGACTTGATTAGCATGGAAGCTGCATTCTTGTCTTTGTGACCATAAATGCTGGAGGCATGGAATTAAGTTCCATCAGATAAGGAGGGGGGGGAACTAAACGGCAGCTGTTATAGTGAACCCTCCTGGGTATGAAGATAAATAAAGTGCAAGCAGTTTGTCAAAGTCGACAACACAAAGCAGTTTGTGCTTCTTTAGCCAAAGATTAAGTTGTTGAGGTTGTTACGGTTAGCGAGAGCTTGTTTCGGGTTGTCAGCTTTGGCCCTCCTCTGATGGACAATGCATCCCCAAACAATATTCTACCTTAAACTAGTTTAACGTGACACTTACATTAATTAAATGCAATCCCATTCCATCCTTTATCTCTCCGAATCAAGCTGTGGTTGGTCCCATTAGCATGGCATTTCTCAGCGTGAGCACAATATGTCCATCATGACTGTCAATGGGGGAGGACCCAAATCATCTTGCTATCACAGAGGCACAAATGGCCAATGCTTGTGAGAGTGTGATTTTAAAAACAGTGGGAGCAGTAGAATAGCGGTTAGAGCGCTGCGCTATGAACCTGGCGACCCGGGTTCGATTCCCGCTCACAGTCAACACCGGTGACGATTATCTGAACCGGTCCTGGGCCTCCCCTGGGTCGACTCAGCCTCAAATGAGTACCTGGTGCGGTGTGTAAACATCGCCACTGGGGAGACAAAGGCGGTCGGGCGTGGTGCTGGCCACCCACCCCCTCGTGTACCGTTCCAGCCTTCATAGGTGCTCGCTAACAGCACTTTCCCCTGCAGTCTGTTAAGGCTATACGGGGGATAATTGTCTTTGAAAAACAGTGCAATTGTAATTGCAGTATTTTACATCATTATCATTATCAATATATCTGTCTGGGTGGCACTGCGATTAGATTGCAATACTCACAATTGGAAGTCGGTAATTTCAAATCACAGTCAGAGATTTAAGCAGCTTGTTATCTTCCCTGTATCCCTCTAGGCTCTCAAAAGTGAGTACCGCCTTGTGAGTAATAATTTTCAGTCAACATATGAAGGAAATGCCCCCAACATGGGAATATGGAATCTGCATTACTTGCTTAGCGCCACCAACAGAGATGAATGCTTCCCCATTGCTTGGAAAAAATACAATTTGAACTAATATTATCAATCATAAAGTTAGAACACGTGAATGTAAATATGCCGTGAAGCCACCTCTATCCGACACAGTCAATTAGTAAGGTGTATTCCAATAACAAAACATTCACGTGACAAACCTTAATGTTTCGTTCACTCGAAAGCCTTGGTGTTTAATACATTATATTATGACTGCCTAGATGTTCAAGGTTATATTTCTGTACCTCTCTGATGTGATTTTTGAATCATACCATACATTGTGCAGCAAGACGTTCAATGTTTTGCCACACATGAACCCGTGCTGGAAGAAAAACTTCCAAGAAGACGCTCCCAGCACGTGGATCGAAACATCAGACACCACGCCACACAACACGCGATACAACGCGAAATCACCATCAGGAGATGTGATATTGCCGATCGTTGTATATACACAACTGCACTGAAGCTCAATTTCTTTCACCATTTTTACGTTGCGTGTAGGATGTAGAGACCTCCACTACGACCTGGTGTTTGTCCTGGACGGTTCTCCTAATGTTGGCCCCGAGAACTTCTCCAAAGCACGTCTGTGGGTCTCCGACTTCATCGGCGGGCTGGAGACGGGCAAGAACAAAACGCGCGTGGGGATGGTGTGGTTTGACGACGCTCCGCACACGGCGTTTCGCCTCGGCAGCTCCTTTGGACGAGAGGGCATCCGCAAGGCGGTGCGCAACGTCCGCTACCAGGGCGGCGCCGTGACTCCTGGCGCGACGGCCTCGGCTCGAGCCGGGGCGGCCCTCGTGTACGTCGCCAAGCACAGCTTCTCGCGGGGCCGGGCCCTAGGCTCGGCTGGCCCTCAGCGGGTGGCCGTGCTGGTGACGAGCGGCAAGAGCCGCGGCGCCGCGGCGGAGGTGGCGCGAGGCGCGCAAGCCGCGGTCGCCGCCGCCGTGCGCGTGTTCGTGGTGGGCGTCGGGGACGTGCTCAAGGAGGAGATGGAGGCGATGGCCAGCGACCCCGACTCCGGGCACATCTTTCACGTCGAGGATTTCGGTTCGCTGCAAAGGGTCACCAGCGTCCTTCGTCAGAAGCTCTGTGAAAGTGAGGCCCTTTTTTTCCCTGCCCGTTTTGGCGCGATAGTTTGCAAAGTTTAGGAACTTTACTTTGGCAATCCGTTTCCGTGAGATTTCAGTTATATGGAGCGTTTTTCGAATGGGTTTGTTAAACGTGCAGCTATAACGTGCATCGTTGATTCATTCATTGCAAATTGCAATTCAATTCGTCAGATCTTTGAAACAAAAATCAATCTCGTAAAATGGTAATGTAGCCTTGGCACAGCCATTCAGTCATAGCACTATGAACCTTGCTATCTGAGTTTGATCCCTGGCCACAGCTAACATCAGTGGCAAGTGATATCAGAACCAGTCCTGAGTGTCCCCTTCATCAACCTGCAATGACCAGCGTGTTGAGGTATGGTCAAATGGCCCTGATGACTCGCACAGTGTGGTGAGGCCTTCATCCAGAATGTATTGACAATGGCATGTAATTTAGTATCAATTCATATGTTTGCATTTATACTATATTCATTTATATATTTGAGTATTTATATATGTAATTCGTTATTGTCTAGTGTAAATAATACACATCATGCTTATAACCAGTTACACGGTGAAGTTTTAGAAATGGAGCCACATGCACTACCATATGCATCAATTCGAAATGTATATACACTGGCTCACTCTTAGAAGCCAAAGCAAGATTGGGTATGGTGATGACAATTGGAGTTTGACTGCTTAAACATTCTGTTGGAAAAAGACCGGTTCAGAATAGCCATAGGCTGATGGCCCTGAATGTTACGTTATATTTACATGGTGAAACACACCAGTGTTGTTTATGTTTCACTGAGGCCATGCCTAACCAAGCTCCACAATGTCGAGAGACGGTTGGGGAACTCGAGCCCCTCAGTCACAACTGGCCGCAGGAGGGAATGGTGACTATCCTGTACTGACGAATCATAATAAGGATGAAATTGGCATGAAGTTGGTTCTTCATCTGTCTGCTTCAATAAAAAATGCCACAATCTCTGCTATTTTAAGCTGGTGGCCATCACAAACCTTTGTATGGAATATGTCCAATAATGATGATACAATCACGCAACGCAACGTTTGCTGGATGTCTGATGTTTTCCTCTTGCAGCCAACGTTTGTGTATACACTGTTAGGCTGTTATTTATTTAGCACTCATTTGTGCAAGAAAGCGTTTTGTTCCATATGGTGACAGCTCTGTCAATTCCCAAGCACGTGAAAGTGCTACATATATAAAGGCTCTAGATCAGTATTGATGTATTTCCAACATGTGTTTGTCTTCCGAAGTATAGTATTTGTTTAGTAATAATAATAAGTTACCTTCCAAGTTGCATAATTAATCGATGTCGCTCTGAAAGTGACGTGCGACGTCACGAGTGTATGTCAAGCAAAATTTACACTTCGGTGAGGCAAGCGCGTACATGGCATGTGAGGTCATCACCTTGGCTGAAAAGGCTTACTCATTGTTGTTGGTTTTTCATCGCCAAGTATCAATTTGCCTGCTTTTATATAGGGCAAGTCCCATATAGCAAGGCAACTTTAAACTACACATTTAATTCATAATGGATCCTCTTTTCACTGGCGTTATCATTATGTTGCAGGGAATAGATGGGCAGATAGGTGGATAGAGCTAACGCATTAACGATTTCAACCTGAGTTGTTAAGCATCAATACGAAAATAAATAATATATCGATTCTATAATCATCTTCATTTTGTTTATATTCCCCCTACAAACATTTATGTATTTAAAAAAATATATCTCTCGTTTGTGTGTAAAATCATGTATGCAGTAGCATACAAATACACGGTATTGTTACTCCCAGTGGAGACAAACTAAATGTATAATATATTGAGTCCGCTTTGCAGATGATGAAATGTTTGTGTGATGGAATAGAGGGAGCAGTTATCCCTTGTGAACTCAACAGAATGTGTTAGTCCAACACTCGGTGTGAGGCGTCCTCTCATGTTTAATTGTATTCTTAAATCTTGTTTTAAATTATTATGACACTCCCAACCAAGCTGCACGAACAATTTAGAGGTGACTGCTCATTGAAACAGCATTTTTGTGAAACGCTTAACCAGTGGAAATTATCGCCATGTCATTTGTCACAATGTTCCATGTTAAATGGAGAACATTGCGGGAATCAAAAGCGTTTACGCATAATGTTCTACATTAGATTTTATGCAGGCTTGTTTTGCTCAGTTCCAATGCTACAGAGTTTATTCTTTGTGAAGCGATAATCATTCGTGACATCTCGAGCTTAAGTTGATAATGAGTATTCTGAAACCAAATGTACCACTCTAAATTAGGCACATTACAAACAAGCAAAAGTCTTCAGCAAAAACGTATACGGTAACTTTTTGTGTCTAAAATCAAAAGTGCCGAGGGGTGAGTGGCAGGCTCCAAGCACTGAACCCAAAACCACTGAGAGCCTGGGTTTGAACCAGGGCAGCCACCCATAGTTAAACTTGATCCTCCAGTGTAGCAAAATTAACTGACTTCTATTTTAACTGTTTGCATTTTACCAATTAAGGCTCACTGAGCTATGTAGCTCTTTTTCAGAAGCGACCTGGCCACAAATGATAGCTCAATGAAGTGGCTTATCACGTGGAAATGTTATTCTTTATTGGGAGGGAAAAAAAACGGAGGATCTGGAAAAAAAACAACGCGACCACGGGGAGAACGTGCAAACTCCAAATATACAGACGCCAGGGTCTGGATCGAACCGATGACCTGCTGTATACTAGGTGAGGTAGTTAACATATCGCTACCATGGCGAGATGTTATGGGGTCAACACAATTTCGTGTTTTCGCTTTATTTGGCGACGTACAATTTCTCAGAATATTAAATGTAGGTTTATTTGCCCTGCCTTATTATGTGTGGAAAAGCGCAGCACCCCTGGCGTGGATAAACAATCTCCTGTGCATGTATATATCATGGCTTTGTCTTTTCAGATACACTAAACATTTCGGAAGGCGTGATGTGCTCATATTTTCATCTGCCTAGGTCGCATTGTACGTGCACGTTGGTGATAAATGCTTCGCCTTTCTAGCATTGTTCAATAAACTGTTGAATGTTATGTTGCTGCTATTGGAATCATTGTGCATTAACAGCCATTTATGTTTTTTTTTCCCTTGCCAGACGTGGTGTGCCCAAGTTACCAGATCGAGAAACAGAGAGGCTCAGGGAAGCGCATTGACATTCCAGGTGAGAACAATACAGGCAGTATTGAAACTGCTTGCATGTGGTAAAAATTGATACTCATATGTGTTGCTAAACATTTTCAGTTTTTTTCTACACTTTATTTAATGAAGAATACTTTACACTGCTTGGCACTCTGCTTTGAAACTGCTTGTGGGGGCTCAAATTCATTTTATGCATCCAATTGGTTTCCTTCATTACAACCTAATCTGCTTTTATGGAATGGGTGGCATTATCATTGTACATGTGTTCCTCGCTCTATGTGATAGCAGATGTATTCCAATCCTGCGCACAAAGCAGAACCGCACGAGGAGGCAGCTGCCTGCCGAGTGGCACGCACGGTTCACACAATATTGTCCTACGTCCGACCGTATAGTCACAGATGAGGGAATTCAAACTACATAGAACAACTTTTGGGTAGAAATAGCAAAGCCACACCGAAGCGAAATCGCACAAATCGAAAGCCGCGTAAAGAGTGAAACCTGTAGGTGAATCCATTGCCTTTATTAAAGAGATCATTCATGCTTTGTGCAGACCCAACATTCATCCATGATCTACCAACAGATGAACAAATAATAGGCTTTACCCTTTCTGAAAATAATGCAGGTGTTAAGATGTTCAAACACCAAATAGACACCAAACAGATACCCACACATGCTTTTGGTAAAACATTCAAACAAATATGCTTTGATAATGTACGAACTGTTTTTGAAAGGGATTCTCCTTCACCAGAGACAGCCTCCTTTAAGGCATTGTCTCACTACCAGTGTTAGACCAGAGAACGCCAAAAGACGAACAGCACAATTGCGCTACAAATGTCAAAGCATTAATAGCTCGGGTTGAGCAGTTCTATTTCTGGGACCCATTTTGATGCCTTGCAATAGATGTCGCTTTGGTGTTTGAATATCTTAACACTCATTGGTTCTTTCAGTAAAGTCACGTATGTAGAAATAAAATTAAAATAAAAAAAATCACAACGTTTCGAACGCAGCACAAACGCCATTTTCACCTGAGGACGAGCGCTGGTGTTGCATTCGAAACGTCTACATACGTGACTTTACCCAAATAACCAATAAGTATAGTAATTCCTGCAGTCACAAAAGCTTCAATCCTAGATTATCTTAACACCTGTATTATTTACAGCAATGGTAAAGCCTTTTACGTTTTTTTATCTTCCAAGTTCTTAATGAAGGCCCTCGCAATGCTGTGTCCATCATGGGGGTTGTATGTATGTATTTTTTACTTCCTTTGCGGGGGAAGGACAACAAATTCAACACAAAAAGCGGTTCTAAAGAAGGGAGTTTTCAATCTAGATTTCAAATTGCATAGCTCCAGTTGCTGCTTAATATCGGAAGAGCATTCCAGATGGTGGCAGAAGCACATCTGAAAGTGCGCGATGGAGTGACTGTCTTTGTTCGATGAAAAGCCAAAAAAACATACTTCACCACGCTGGTCAGTGCAGGTCACTGAAGGGAGGTGGGGAGCAGGACCAGATCATAATACCACCCGCCACTGATATTAACCGTGGCCCAGTATGGAATTCAGGTGACCGAGTTCAGAGTGCAGTGCACTAACCACTACGCGACCGATCCACTACCGTAAAATGTCAGGTGATGCCACTGACGTTGCCAAACTTGATACCACATTTGGCAAAAGTATATCTGCCATTTCAATCCAGCAGCAGTTCTTTGTAGAAAATCCACACGTTTATCTACAAATGCCATAGCTCACAGAATCGCATCACTCAAGGCACCCCTGGATGGCGTAGCATTATCTATTACGTTGTTTCATGCATACCCATGTTTGTGTTTCTCCAATTGTATCATATTTATGCTGTAAGTAGCTTGGCACAGACTGCATAATTTAATATTATATAACCCACGAAGTTGAATTTCACATCAGTAAACTGTCTGAAAGTTAAATGGTTCGTCACCTGTCATCATTCGAGGATCTATCTTACCACGTAATATAAAGTGCGATATTATGCTGTGCAGTAACAGAAGTAGTTAAAATTACATAATGATGTTTAAAAAGCAAATAGTACACATTGTTCTTTGTATGGTCATCAATAGCTGTGCTAATAATATTAACTTACTTCACTTTAGAACAGAGCGTGAATTTTAACCCACAATATCAGCCATGCTCATTCGTTGTATGGACATTGACATTAACCGCATAAACCACCCAGTCCCCACTAAAAAAAATGCATTTGTTGATTTTTAACTGTACTGTGGTATGGCAAACCCACAGTAAAATGTTCCATGTCTAGAAATTAATGCATGCTTACCCTATAAACATTACGTATTTCACTTATAAAACTGTCTCACCAAAATGTGAATTAACAAGCATACCTGATATGAAAAGCTTGACTTTACTTTGGCTTTTGACAGTCTTATATTTAATATAATTGTAGTGGGCACAAACGGACACTCAGACATACGGGTTGGAGGCAATACATTTATTAACCAACGCACTAACACAAAGGGGTAACTGCCCCTTTACCAGATGTTAACCTAGGGTGGTGGTCCACTGGGCTAACTACACTAGCTACACGGGGAGTAGCTACAATAGACGGGAACCCCAGCTTCGGTCCGGGTCTTGGGTTGGTCTTGTCTTGAGGTGGAGGCAGCACGTAGAGTCTTCAGGATCACAACAGCAGCCTGTCCCACTGGGAGACTGGCTTTTAATCCCCGTGGCGGGGCTCGCTCCGCCCCTAGCCATGGCCCCCTTCTCGAACCATTTAGGAGGCTCTCGCTTTGACACGTGGTCCCCCCAGCCCCCCTTTTGTGGGGTCCCCCGAGTGGACGCCCCCGGTCACGTGTCCTCCGGGGTCAACCAGAGTGCCATGGCCCCGTGGAACCCCGTTCCCGAAGCTGGCACCCCCCAGCACCCTATCCTCTAGGGCTGGCATTGCACCCAGCTCAGGGTGCCACTGGTTGCCGTCAGTCCGTGCTCGTAGTCCATTGTGTGGCGTGTCTTTGCCAGGCTGGCCACACACACACAACGACGTGCAGCGATGTGGCTACACTCATGTAGCGACATCGCTAGATGTCGCCTGGGAAAGGCACGCCATGCAACATATTGCCACCAGGGACACCACTGAAGGGGGATGCAGTACCGGCCCTAGCGGGGTTCAGGCAGCACTGTCCGACAATCAAGGATGGCACCCTGCTCTACGTGCAGTGCCAGCCCCTACAGGATAGGGGACGAGAGTGCCGGCCTCGGAACAAGGTTGCAGGGGGACATGGCACTCTGGTTGACCCTGCAGAACACGTGCAGGAGGTGTCTACCCGGGAACCACATGTCCAGTGGATATCCTCCTCGAGAGTTCGAGAAGTGGGGTCGTGGCTAAGGGCGGAATGAGCCCTGCCAGTGGAACTGGCTGCTGTTGTCTTCATGAAGAAATCTAAATTCTACGCCGGAAGAGGAGTCTGCAACACACGGACCCGGACCCGAGTTGGGGTCCGGTCCACTGTAGCTAACTGAGAGTGTTAGGGTAGCTAGCCTGGTGGTCCACCACCATAGGTTATCTGGTCAAGGGGCAGTTACCCCTTTGTGTTAATAGTGTTGGTGTTAATAGTGTTGGTATTAAGTTAATAAATGTGTTGCCTCCAATAGTAAGCCTAAGCCTCCATCTGTACCCACTACATAAGTGGCTGCATTGGAAGGTTCTGTACATTAGCATTCCTGCCATTTGGCCAATTGGTAGAGCCAATGGAAGGATTTCCACAGTCGCACAATGTTTTCCCTATGTAGAAATGCCATAATGCACACTTGTTTATAAAGCAGACATCAGAGAGTATGTGATATAATTTCTAAAAATTGCTATACTCTTTGGTTCTTTCGGTAAAGTCACGTAGGTAGAAAAATAAAATAAAAAATATATATCACGACGTTTCGATTGCAATACAAGCGGTCGTCCTCAGGTGGAAAAAATAATAATCCAGCTGTGCAACTGCTGAACCAGCGAGAGAGCTGTTACAACAAAGTTATATATGTGGCGAAGGGCAAGCAGGTGGGGTCTGAGCTGGAAAGGAATTCCATCCCCGGATGCAAGCACGTTAGTTGTGTTAATGGGGGAGATTCGGGAGAGAGAGATTAGAGAGAGAGATTAGCATGAAATGAGCTTCCGTCGCCACACAGGAGCACCGTCCCCACATATGCACACAACAGCAGTGTTAATGGGAGATTAGCACTATGTTGATGGGAGAGTTTAGGCAGAGAGATTGGGGGGATTAGCAAGTTAAAGTCATGTTTATGTGTAACACAAGCTGCTGCGGCGCTGCCAACTGTGCTGTGAGAGGCAAGCGCATCCACGCAAGAGAACCACCGCAACGGTGGTCGTGCCAGTGAGACACACAGCCCATCACACAGCCAGAACCATCGATACATCGAGGCTAAGGGAGCAGAGGTTTCCATGTTAGTGAGACCCCAGCCCGTTAATGCAGAGGCACCTAACAGGGCAATGCAACTCAGAGAGTCGGAGATAACAGATAACCGGCAGGGAAGAATGTAAGCACCACAGCAAGTTACGACTTTGCTTGGTTAATAACGTCCTTCCAACGATTGCTCAGTTTATACCCATCTTCAGGGTTGAAATTATCTCTGTATTTATATATCTGGATGGCTTCATGGAAAAAAAACTTTGATGGTAGCCCGAAGGTTTTGCAGAGTACCTTGGTCTCGGAAAAAAACAATGTCATGCGAGCCCACTGCATTATAACAATGATCAGCTATGGCAGAGGTATTGGTTCTACCATGTTTCAAATTTGCCTTGTGTTCGCGAACACGGTCCGAGACATGTCGTTTCATTTCCCGAATGTAACTGGTGCCGCAAACACAACTTAGTTTGTAGACACCAGGGTATTGCATGTCAGGAATGACATCCTTCACAGATGAGATCAAATCACGTATTTTGTGTACTGTATTGAATCGGACCTGGATCTTATGTTTGTTTAAGATTTTGGAAATATTTTTGGTAACACCTGCTATGTATGGCAAGGTGA